ATTTTTCCAAACAAAATCTCTGTATCTGACTAATTTGTAAACTAGCATCTATATTTCATGCTTTCAACAAGTACAAATTTAGAGGGATAAAATATATTTCCCGGCATTGAGGAACAAAGTGATTTAAAGGAAATAAGACTTAAAATATAGGCAAGTGCTGACTATAATTTAATTCAAATGCAGTTGCTTTGTAAATTTTTTTTATTATACTCACAGCCTCTTCATCTACATCAAGATTAAAAATATACATTGATCCTTTATAAGAACAGTTTGTTTTAAAGCATTACAGAAACTCCTTGCATAGTGAAACTCATTCAGTTAATTACTACATTGTGGTATTAATAAAATCTATTCTATCCTAAATTTAGACTATGAAAATTGACAGCAGGCTGCCAATTAAAGTTATAGTTTTTTTTTTCACTAACAGACATTAAAGGTTTGAACATTAGGCCTTCTTTTAAAGAAACCCCACCTGAACACTCCGGCTGCACCCCGCTCCATGACCCCCTGTGCTGGCAGGTGCGTGAATGTTCCCCCTGGATGCGATAACCGGGTTTACAGGTGAAGTCACACCTGGAGTCCACGAAGAATCCCTGAGAGCAGGTGTATCTGCCCTGGGAAATGAGGGGCAGCACATGGCAACGGATCCCTGAAGAGACACCAGCATACAGGAATTCATCACTGCAACAGAGGAGTCCTTACAGTCATGTTTCTGGGATTATTTTCTGATTTACAGATCCAATTAAACCTGGAAAAAATGTCTATACCCTGCATTTTCCTGCTATATCTTTTCACCACTGAAGAGATGTTTTTGACTTAATTATTTTTTCTAATATCATAATTTTAAGCATAACCCTTTGTAACTAAAACTATTTTCTAGCCACTGTAACAACATAAGAAAAGCAAACCTATACACTGGTTTGTTTAGACAGCTACACTGACTCAGATTTAACAGCTGCAATGAGACTCAGATGGATTTTCCAGGATAGAGGAGCTGCATAGCTGCTGTGGCCATGGTGAGGGTCTCCTTATTGGAGAATTTTAACTTTTAATGAAGTGAAAACTGAATCCTTGTCTGTGCTTCAGACATATTTGAGCCACAGGAAGTGCCAACTCTTTCTTTTTTTTTTAAGTTGCAGCAGTTCCTACATCTGTTAGGAATTTGGATGTTTCCCTTGAATCAGCTCCCATGTTGTATTTTTATATTACACCTCTGGTTTTGCTCTCTGTGAACACAAGTTTTTTTGTGTCACTGTCTGAAGTGGAACTTGTTATTCATGTACCGGTACTTCATGTCTGGATGACTAAAAATCACCATTTACTTGTTCGGACAAAGTCTCCTTGGAACACCTGCAGGCTATTCTGACTATTTACAAGTCACACTGCTGCTTCATCCCTAACACTGATTTCTCATTAACCTCTACAGTATGTCCATTTTAAGCAGAGGTGTCAAGTAGCAAAGTACAAATACTTCATTACTGTAGTTAAGTACACTTTTTCGGTGTCTATACTTTATTCCATTACTTATTTTTCTCCCTACTTCTGACTTCTACTCATTACATTTTCCAATAAGTATCTGTACTTTCTATTCCTTACGTTTTTAAAACAAACGTTACTTGTTACTCTTGGCTTCAGTTACGTTTATAAATATTTATTTCACGTCATGTGCGCCATGTGCGCCACATCTAGTGAAAACTAGTGTCATTGGATGAGTCATAACACAAACACTGATTGGTTAGATATTCATCAAATTTGTGCTGACAGCAAAAGAAATCATCAGAAGCAAGCAGTTGTTCTTCAAACTCCAAACGTGAATTTTCTCTGCCATGCTTCCATGTTGAATTTTGATATCACTGATTTTAATGTTCTAATTTTAAATCTAGAGTGCTTTGCAGAGACGAGCACCAACCTGTAAAGTAAACAGCACATGGCTTCAATTTGAATGGTTGGTTGCAAAATCAAACTGGTATTCAAACATATTTTTGTTTCTTGGGTTTGTTTCTTTAAGTCTTTTTCTTATATAAATAAACAGAATGATTTTCTTTTTGCTTTAATAAACATCCACAAAAGGTAGTAACTTTGATTATTTCCTTGTAAATAGAATCTTTCTAGATAATATATCTCATACTTTTAGGAGGCCTTCAGTTTCCTGTTAAATGGTGCCAAATCTGTAAGAAGACACTCCTAAAAAAAGTCTTCTTTGCAAAACCAAATCCCTTAGCTGCTTCTCCTATTGGTTCTAGTTTAATGTCTTTTATTGGGCAAACTGGTAATTAAAAATGTTTTTACACTTGACAAATGGGCTTATTAAACAAGTGTTTAATCGGGTTATGTTCAAGACAGCAGGCAGATTGTTCCATCCTCTCCATTCCTGGAGTCAGTCTCTGATAAACGTCAATGTTAGGGATCTCACTTGGAAGCCTAATTAAATTCCTAGTAGTGGACATATAAACTTTGCATCTACAAGGAGTGAGATGCCACCCCACAACATTAATCTGCTAAATAAAATAGAAAAAATAAGTTTACTGTACGACTGAAGCCACAAAACAGACTTAAATCAAAGACAAACACATTTTTGCACATTATTTTTTTACATTTCTACATGAGTCTGCTTCAATGCGTTTGGCTAGAACTAAAAATGGGATGTTAGAATCCAGTCCTCAAGGAGGAGGTGTCCTGCACCTTTAGATGCATTTCTGCATAAACATAACCGAATCAAATAATTAGGTCCTTTGCATGACTCTGAAACTGATAAGATAGTTAGGTAATTTGATTCAGGTTTTGTTGGACCTGAGAGATATCTAAAAGTTGAAGGATACCAGCCCTCAGGGACTTAAATTAAACATCCCTTTATAGTGCAACTGGAAGTTGGAGTTCTGCTTGCACTAGTAGTTGGAAGGCACTCTGGTGCGAGCTGAGAGAGTTGACAAAGACTCTTGGGTACATGTTGAAACCTCTTCAGAGGTGAGTAAAATACGATTGCCTTCCAACATAAGCCTGTTTTGTGGCTTTTTGGAATGAGTGCAAGGACAGAGTTGTACATGCCTGGAAGCTGAAACCATAACCCCCCCCTCCTCTTTTCAAGGATTGATTCTCATCTAATATACATGGTATCCTTCACCCCTGCAATCTTGTTCTTTCTGCTAGTTTCTTTGGCTGGCTTAACAAACACCCAGGAAAGCGGTAAGCTTAACTCAGCAAAGATGACGATATCACATACTTAACAAAACTGACTATAACGAAAAAATTATGCTAATGTATTTGCAACACATGTGAGGCCCCGAGCCAAATGAATGACTGCAAAAAAGATGAAATTCACAAAATTCAAAAGGGGTGCCACTCAGACCATTTGCCAGTGGAATTAACTTGATAACACACAACATCACTAAACTTCTTCCAACAATTTTGGCTGTACTGGTTGGAAACTATCCACACCACATACAGAACTCCCTGGAGTTCGTTTTTAAGTCTTGCACTATCAGACTGGCACCAGGTGACACCATTTTTTCTTTCAATATCACCTCTCTTTACCTACATTACATCATCAGATGCAGTGAAAACTGTCAGGACACAACTGCAATATGATGAAACCCTAAAAGACAGGACAACCTTACCATCTGTTGTGCTATAAGACGTGATATTCCTTTTGATCATCATGGACCAGTGATCATGCTGGCTCTTTGCAAGATCTAAAAGCTTCAGAAGACCTTCTACAAGAATGCCCTCTGCTGGCACAAAGCAGCTGTTTAATAAGCTGATTAATTTTGAAAATACTAGCGCAATTGTTTCGAGAGCCAACCGAGCTAAAGAAGCTAGGTTGTCCCTACATACTTATCTCTCAAAAACAATCACAAACTTAATTATCTTAAGGGTTATTCATTTCTAATTTAGGCATATCATTTTATAAAATATTATCTTACCAAATAGTGGTTTATTTCTTGAATTTGCATTGTTAATTGGTTTGTATGCATTGAAATTGCTTTCAATGAGTTAAAAGCACATTTGATAACAGACTACAATAACCAATGGAACGACTGGTGGGTCTTTGAGTTGCATGTGACTGGTAATGTGCTTAGGAGAGTAGGCCTCCAGGTGCTAAAACATCAGCTCTCCAACTATTGTTTTTTTATTTTTTTTAGCACGAGCCAATAGAATTGACACCGTCCTGGATAGGCCTCTAAACAGTTTCAGAGAAATGTATTAAACGTCCAGTTGGCCCAGTTTAAGACTGTTTTGTGGTTGCCATGACTGAAATGTCTGAGAGGTTGGACACTCATCTTATGAATGACGCCTAATTCAACAGAAATAACCAGGCTTAATGATATATTAGAGACCTAAAACAACTAAATATTATTACAAAGAAGAAAAAATAAACAAATGCAACAACCCCTATTTTTAACTCCCTGTATCATTGTGTTCTTATAGACAGATTGTGGCACAAAAGGGTGGAATAAAAAGTAAGTGTATTTCAAATATCAAAATCTGATAAATAGTTTATTGTACTAATAATTTTAGTTATATAAATCTAAGTAAACATATTTACACTTTTGCAACGAGTTATACAAGTTATGCATTATGATAATGAAGATCTGATTATGTAGATTTAAGGTCTTCACGTACTGCGACAGTAAGCCCTCCCAGACCAGATGCGGTTCGGGAGGCAATGAATCGACCTTCTGCCCAGCAGTCTGTAGCCTCGGTCGCAGCTCATCTCGCAGCGTGTCCCCAGTGTACTCTTGTAGGCGCCGCCACGAGGGGAGCGGCAGGTCACCTCACCATTGGCCAGGTGCGGAGAATGACACCAGTTTGGGTCTGTTTTGAAAGAACAAAGGGAGACAAAGAAAATCAGAATGCTGATTATTTTTGTTGCTATTCAGGAAGGTGAGAAAATTCATTCTGAAGAAAAATCCTGCTAAGATTTGGGATGACCGCGACTGAAAAATCAGTCAGCATCAGTCTGACAGCAGGATCTGATTGAATTGTCTCTGTAAGGGGCCTTGAGATATAAATAAACTGATTTGAACTGACCTGAATTGTATTATCCCTGTTCATTTAAATAGCAATTAACAATTAAGAAGTTAAAATTCAAATTTTGTATGCCAATTCAAGTTAAGTTTCAGAATATTTTAGGAATACAGGTAAAATAGACACAAAGGTGACCCAGGTTTATAAGTATGGTTACCAGGCAATCACTTAAAGTCGTAGGTAAACGGCCGTTCCAACCGTCACATTTCCAAATTCTCCCGAGTGGTGCAAGACTTTACACAAGTGAATAAAGTGCATATGATTGGTCAATTATCAAGAGGGCAGAAGGTTCGCAAGCAAGTTTGATTGTGGCCGGTGTCTCGGAAGCATCTTGATAACCAGTTAGCAACTTAGTGTTAGTAGGTACCCAACGGGAAATTACATTGGGACCAAGTAGCACTTAGCAACGACACTGTCAAGGAAAGCTATGGACAGCAGAAACATGCAAGAGGAGGAGAGTTTTGTGTCGGAGGTCGTGGATGAGTCTCCTCCGTCATACATTTTCTATTTAGAGGAGAAAAGTGGGGATGAAGTTGTTGTGGAAGAGGATGCCAGGGCGGCAGAAGCTTGGTTTGGTGTAGAAGGCTTACAGCCGTACATGTTTGAGCCCTTGCCTTGCAACGCTGCAAGTTCTGTTAGCTCTACGCCTACTGAAGACACAGACGTCCATCCCTGTCAACACTGGGACATAACTCCATGGTAAAGTAAATGATTCTTATGTCAACCATTGCATATATTAGCTGTGACATATGAATCAGGATGCTATGACCGAAATAATTTGATTGACAAATGACTGTTGATATATGATTGGCCGAATTTAGGTGTACAGGCTGACATATAACTAACTGGCCTGCATAGGATAATTTTTTTTAAAGATTTTTTTTTTAAATAGAAATGTTCTAAGTTTTGGGACAATGTGGTCTGATAAAGAGTATATTTATATACATGTTTAAGCCAGAATGATTTGACATTTAAATATGACTTCCCTATGACTTTAAAAAGTCCAGTGTTGTGTAATGTGAACGTCTGCCACACTGGCAAAGGTGTTACCTAATCAATCCCATGTATTTTGGCTCTCTAAGTATTGCCAGTACTGTCAGTATTATATGATTGGTTCTTCACACAGAAATAATGATTATTGATCATTGGTGATCTATCTTCTTAGAAACCCCAAGCACCAAGTCATAAACACTGTTGAAACACACAAGTTCTTTATTGTTTTTCTAACTTTTCTATTTAAACTCCAGATCTAAGCACAAGTTGCCTTAAATGTATGACTGTGTTTTACATACGCACCCTTATAGTCCAACTGAGGAGTGTAATCTTCTTCTATGAAGTCACTGTAGCTGTCTTCGACTGTGGTTGCTCCAGCTGAAACATGGAGACAGAATACATTTCAGAACATCTTTTAAATGAATATGTGTCAACCGGTGGTGCACTGGAAAACTTTACATCTGGAGAACAGAAAACGCGGGTAACACAGTTACAGGCGGGCATGTAAATGATTCCCCTCACGTTGCCTCATTTCCTGTTCCTTCAATGGAGACATTCCAGTGAGGAAACGCCTGGTTTTCAAATCACTGAGCCTAAAGGAAACTCTTGGGAGTTTTAGCACAATGTGAAAAGCAAAAAATATATATATTTATATATCATATTAAGCAGAAATAGCTCACTTACTTAATACCTAAAACCTTCACTTAGATTCGTTTTTTTACTGCAGTGCATCTCTAATAGCCTTAAATAATTTAAAGGTTTTTGCTGCAAGGAATATTTGGAATCAGTGCCACTAGTTTTTATTTGTAACATCCCTTTTTGTGTCTCTTCTGGAATTACAGATGTTTTCGTAATGACTGTGAAGCAACATTGCCTTCATTCCCTCACTTTGCTGATAACTTTGCAATAAAAATATTAATATTTAACCGTGTCTTATCCTATTTGCTTTATACATTTCCTGTTAGTGTTGTGTAAAGGGGCGAGGGCAGCAAAATCATGAATTTTCTGCAGAAAGTCAAGTGTTTTATTTTCTGTAATTAACATAAAGTAGTATTTTTACTCTGCAAACTTCATTACTTTTTGCAATGTTACCCCTAAATGCCCTTCCGCCCTAACTCAAGTCTTTGGGAACATCTAATAGTTTTTCTTTCCTGACAGGCCTATAACCAACTCTCCAACCAACCATCCATATATCCGTCCATTGTGGATCAAATCTTTATGACGTAAGGGAACCCACCACTTAAGCAAGCCAACCCCCTGATGTCTTGTCCCTTTAAAACCACAGCACGGCCATTTTCACTGCCTATTTGACCAAGTTTTTATTGATTATTTATAGCAGTGACAAATTTATCTCTCAGTCAGATCCCCTCTTTTTGTTAGCACATGAATAAACAGAAAATTCTGTTTATTCACGTGCTAACAAAAAGACAAAAACATCTGTTGCTCCACCTTACCTGTATTCTCCTCTCCCAGCTAAGAGAAAAAAACATCCCCACAGTCTGATTCTGTCACCTCTATCTATCCATATAAAAACTGCTTTTCACCAAGTATAAGTTTAGCTTCTTGGTCAAAAAGTTCCGTTTAGGATTCATCTTCTTCTAGATGATTATTTTCCATAAACATTTTGAAGCAAATTGCAAACTATTTCACAATGCCTTTTATCTTCACACCCTAGTAAAGGTCAGATCTGTCCACAGAATAGTCATCCTGTCAACAGATCCCCCTACCTGATCTACTGATCTCTGCAGCTCCCCCAGGGTTACTGTGGGTTTCTTGGTTGCTTCTCGGATTAATGCTCTCCTTGCCTTAGTTTTAGCTGTTAGGTGTTGGTAACTTCGTTTATGTGCCAGACTCTTTCTAATTCCCAAAGATTTATTGAACAGTGCTACATATGCTGCTGAGATATTCCATCTTTAATATGGTATATGTTCACTAATGTGCCCCAATCAAAGGGCTTAAAAGAAAAGCTGGATTTACGTATATTCAGATTAAAGTAGACAAAAACAGACTCTATATATCGATTTAGTGACTTCTAAGGGTAATTGTTTGCCCAGAATTTTATTTATGGGTATCCAATAATCGTTTTTTTATTAATGAAACACATTGAAAACCCATACTTTGCTATAGCTCTCACATCTAATGCCCTTCTTGGTACTAACCGAATAAATAAACTTTAGTTCCTGGTTTTAATATGCTAAAGAGAGCGTGAATACTTCCAGCCACTAAAGAGCTCCTCAGTCAACACTTTGAAGAGGTTATAATATCCGCTAAGCACTAGAGTGGACCAGAAATGGTTAATTTTTGTGGAAGGACTCAAAGGGAGTTCAGGACCAGAATCTGTGGAATAAACTTAAGACATGAAAGTCATCTATTTGCTGAGCACACCGTGGTTTATTGTAAACAAGACAAGGTTTTTAAAACATGGTAAGAGCAGGAAAAGTTTTTTAGCTGTCAGCTATGAAAACTTATTTTATGTGCTGTCTTGAATGCACATGTCAAATGTCATGAGTTGAGGCTGGACCAACTCCATCCCACAAACCTGAAAGCATAATGAAAACTTTGTAACAATGATAATAAATTCACAGAAACACAAATAGAATAGGGGGTATTGGTAGTGCCACAGGCAGTGAAACAGGGAGAAAAAGAGGAAGTTTAACAGGATGATTCAGCAGGGAACAATGGGCCAACAGTAAACTTAAAAGCTGAGAGAAGGGAGGAGAATGGCATAAGAAACTGGATGATAATCAGAGGGATCTGAACTGGGTTTAGACTGCTTTTATCCACTTAAATTTTCAGAGTTACCAAAACTATTATCTTCATCTAAGCCTTCAACTTGTATTTATGATGAATTTCTGATCATCTTATTTTAGGGAGTATTCCCTCTGATTTCCTCCTCCATTATAGATCTGATTAATCTGTCCCTGTTACAGGGATATATACCTTTTAAGGTTGCTGTAATTAAATCTTACTAAAGAAACCATCTCTTGGCCCAGATGACTTGGTCAATTATTTACCTTTATCAAATCGTTCTTATCTAAAATTCTTGAGAAAGTAGTTGCCAAACAAGTGTGCGACCACTTACACCACAATTAACTTTTTGAAGAGTTGCAATCTAGTTTTAGAGCTCATCATAGCACTGAAGCAGCTGTGGTGAAAGTCACTAATGATATTCTCATGGCCTCAAACAATGGACTTGTATCTGTGGTCGTCCTGTTAGATCTCACTGCTGCATTTAATACAGCCAATTATAATATTCTTTATAAAATACTTTAATATTTTGTAGGAATTCAAGGAATGTTATTTATCTGACAGATTTCAGTTTGTTCATGATAATGATGAATCTTCCTCATCCTCCAGGATGTGGAGTACCACAGGAATCAGGGCTGGAACCAATTCTCTTTACTATATATATATATATATATATATATATATATATATATATATATATATATATATATATATATATATATATATATATGCTCCCAATTACTAGAGTTATTAGACAGCATGGGATTAATTTTCACTGTTATGCCTGATGATACTGAGCTACATCTGTCTATAAATTCAGATGACGCTAATACATAGACTACAGGCATGTCTTGAAGACACAAAAACCTGGATGACTCTTAACTTTCTCCTTCTGAATGCAGATAAAACAGAAGTTATTGTCTTTGGACCAGAGTCTTTGAAAAAGAAGCTGATTAGTCAGTCACTTCATTTGGATGGGATTAAATTGATCTGAGATAATAAAGTAAAAAATCTTAGTGTTATTTTTTATATAATTTCAATTCCATCTAAAAAAAGGTTTCTAGAAATTCTAGTCAAATAAGAAGACAACTATAAATGAAAATGTGTATTGATATTAAAATGGTGCTTCTTGGTCAAATTAAAAGTACCCACTTTTTTACATAAATTACCTTTTTTATTTTTTCTGTGCTAAACATGTTTTTTATTTATTTGGTGTAGTATTAATGTTGAATTTATATTTGATGTAAGCAAAAAATCCAAATTAAGAGAAATAAAGGTTTTAAAACATGAGTCTGAACTTGCTTTGTTTCACTTCACTGAGTTGGAAAAATACGAACTATTAAACAACGTTCAAAATCATTGAATATTTCAGTCTGCTCTGTTTTGAAATGCTGCTGACCACACATGTAGAAACTCAGCCTGTTTTCATTATTCTCCTGAAGAGTCATCACTTTTTTGTCTTATTGCACAACAGCTGTTTACTTCTGTCCCACCGTTGATCTTCTGAATGTCTCCATGTTAGCAGCTGGTTGCCAGAGTTTCCAGGCTGCCGTCCTCCACCCCTGTTTCAGGCCTCATTCCTGCTCCACTTCCTCTGCAAACTCAGTTGGAGTTTTGTCAGCTTTCTACCCCATCCAACTAGAAGGTCTCTCCTAAAGCGTTTTCTATTAATAAGGATGCATCACATCCATCCTTCCCATTCTTGAGGCAGCTTGTTCCAAGAGCCTTTTAGATTAAAGCTGTCATCAGCATTTTTCTTTATAATGAGCTCTGTGTTCCTCTCTGTGGCGCTTCCCTCAGGCTGATATACCCCTCCCTCCTCACAGAGAATTAGTCACACAGGAAATAAACACTCAACTCATCAGTCTGATATTCAGCAAGAATCAAGCAGCGGCAGACTTAAAGAGCAAGAACCCATCATGCATGAGAGCATTAAAATTGCACATGAATTCATTCCACTACACTGACAGCCTCTAAATTCTGGCACTTAAATGTTGCAGAGTACCTAGGCTCTGCCGCTCTGAGGCCTCTTCATCTCTAATGACAAAGCTGAAGATAAACGACAATCATCCTTCCAGTCGTCTGGGTCCACGTGGGCCCCTGGGGCAGTTTTCAATTCATGCTGTCATCTCACAGGGTTGAATGAAGCCCCTCAAGTAATCACCACCAGTAATTAACTAGTAGTGATTGAAGCAGAGCTGTAATTAAACCACCTGGCCAGCGAGCACAGAGGAACACCAAGGATGACAGGGGGAGGGAAGAAGGCCACAGCCTAACCCTACTTGGCCAAAACAAAGAAATTATTGGCAAAAATTTAGATGCTGTTTAGTAGATATTAAATCTGGTCTTTGTTTACTTTTTTTTTTAAAGTGCAGTAACTCTTGTTTTAGCGTTATATGAAAACCCCGAACTAAAAGGATAGATTTTGTATGCAGTACACAATCTAGTTACAAACACTATAGTGCCATGAACTTTTAGAAAATGTCAAACATATTAAATAGTAAATTAACTAAAATTTCAGGTTCTTAAAAAAATGCTGCCAGACAAAAAGAGAGTTACAAGAAATATATTTATCAAACAAATTATATGGTAGAGTCAAAAACGGTTCATTCTGGGGACAGCGATACGACCCAGGAGGCTTTACTGTAGCACTTGTCACTGGCTGCTACAGGTCCAAGTCCCAGTCCATTGACCTTTTCAACCCCCATTTTCTATCAGCTTACTTTCAAAAAAAGGGCACTAGTGCCTAAAAACATCAAATTATTCATACTCCCAGCAGACCGGCTTGATAAAAAAAACTCTTTCACTGTTTCTAATTGTATTCTTAAAGTCTGTATGCCTCAAAGTCCTTCAACCAAAGTCAAATGATCTGGCTGTCCACACAATCATGGCTGAAGAAATGAATCCTCATGTACTAAAGCAGAGAGTAACTATTTCACCTGTTTTAATCTTAACAACATGTTTCCTCTGACTAAATAAAAGTATTGAATCTCAGATTATGGTGATGGCAACACTGCCTTCCAACTTCAAAGACCCTAAATCTTCACCAAAGACAGTCAAAATAGTGGAACAATGTAAATCCTGTAAAGCCAATGAGGAGCATCTCCATTAAATATTTAATGGGGCTTTGAATTATCTGCATGTTTGGTGTTCTTGGGCTTAATGTTTAATTCATTTTGACTGGAGCCTGGCCAGCTGCATGCTGGGGGACGCTAAGGAGCACATCTGGATCTGATATGGATGTGGTTTCAGCTGAGATGGAGGCGTTTTCCCTTATCATCACCAGAAATATAACACACAACACATTTTTTAAACATGTATATCATAATAGAAAATAACTACACTGAACAAAATAATGCTACCGTGTTTGGCATATACTTAGTTACTTTAACATAAAACAATTGTGTTAAGTAACTTATTATGATTAAGTAAATGCCAAAAATGGTTGCATTTTTGTTTGTTTTTTTTCATAAAGATGTTAAGTCATATAGAGCCATAGATTTGGGAATTATAATAAACTTTTGATCCATTGTTGTGTCAGAAAATTTGCTGACTTAATATCATTAAAAAAACTATCTGAAGTTAAATAGCTTGCAAAAGTAAGAACCTGTACAGTAAATATTAAAGTTTTGTTTTTGTGTTTTCTCCTAATTTTGTATTTTATGTTTTGTTCTGCTATTCTCTGGAATCTTGTGCATGTTGCAATAAAAAGGCCCTCAAACTTTAACGCATTTTCTAGCTTTTTTGTTTTATTAGAGGTATCAGATTTTTGTTGCTAAAATAAGGAAGTGAGATATCAACCAATGAAATCTACGATTAAAATGGAGGTAATTCTTTAATACGTTTTTAAAAAGTAAAAAGTCTTGCATTTTTAAAATGAATAGAAAAAAACTATGCAGCTATAAGTCTTCTTTAAGATGTGTTTTTCCTTCTTTTTTTTTTTCCAAGTTAGTAAACTCACCTGTGAAGAATAAAAAGATGAAAACAGCGGCACGAGCGCAGCGGCTGGTTGGCATGGCAGCGACACAAACACCAGACTCCAACATGGAAAAAATAGTTTGTTTAGTTCTGTAATCAAATGTTGAAGGAAATTATTAAAGTAGAATCCTGAAGAAGTTTCCTGATAAACTGGCGGATAGCCTTGTCTGAACTCCGCTGTGCAGGAAAAAAAAAGGCTACTAAAAAAGAAGTCTTTTAGTGAAGTAAGAAGGTAAAGGCGATAGGGGGCGCTAAAGGGCTTCATGTGTGAACATGTTTCCTCCCATCTGCTGCATTAAACATGATAAAATCCCACAAATCACCATTCTGCACACAGCAACACTGAATCTTATCCCTGTGAGCTTTAATGGGGAAACTTTACCTCAACCATAACATTTATCAAGCTATTAAACTTCGTTTGAATTAAATTTTTAACCAAAAAATGGTTGATTTATTTGCATGGAGCCTCTTCAATAATTAAATCTGAATGTAATAATAAACCATGATTAGATCTAACAATAATAAGTTATTTCTGATTATTTTTGTTGTGATTCTATGTAGTTATTAGGAAATACAATTTTCCTTTAGATAAAATCGCAGTGTAAAAGAAAGTGCTCTAAAAACATTTTAGTGGAAGAACCGCTAATTTTATCAGCTGTGTTTCACAAAGTGCCACGTTGTAATAATTTTATGTGGTTCACTTCGCCGCAGCGCGCGCGTCAAGGCCGGCTTCATTATACCGGAAACAGTTCCGCTACTGTCAAAATAAAAGTAGGCTATATATGTAAAGGGTAATAAAAAAAAATGCAGATTAGAATTTATTAAAGTATTTTATTTTGGAAATGTAAACGTAACCATAAAAACTTTGCAAAAAGACTGCAGGTTAAAAAGAAACAGAGGATGCAAACAAAAATCCAGGCGTACAATATAATAGATGTGATCAAACATGTTATCATTTGGAAGTCACTTTACATTAAATATGATTGGATCATTAGAAGAGTGGTAGAGGTAAAGGTGGTATAAGAAAATTAACAGTGGTTGGTTAGTGGTAAGGTGTGTGGTATTACTGACAAACACAAATTACATCAGATATCAGCTCTGAGATCTTTATTGCAGGACTGGGCAGAGCTGACAGAGAGGGCATTTAAAATAAAGGGGATCCTTAGGGATTTTAATTAAAATATAAGAGAATGTATTAACAACCTGTATCTGGCCAGAGTTGCATTAATAAATGGATGATTTATTAAGAATAACAACTAAAATAGATCATCTGTATACAGTTACATTCCACTAAGTGAGGATTACACGAAAAGTAAATCTGAGAATACATATTTTTTATGTAGATAAAAAAAAACAGGGTTTTGATAGGCAATGAAGATGACTGTAATAGTGATGGTTCTAAACAAATTTACTAGAGGGGCAACTGTTTTTTTTTTTTTTTGTTTATATATATATATATATATATATAGGGGTGCAAAGGCAAAGCATTGCACAAAAACAAGGCAATAGTCATAGATGATATTTTTGGCTCTAGAGACCACAGGTATGGCACATCAAAACTGGGATACGGTCTCAACACAAGTGAAACTAAAGTACAACACCTGAATTTGAAAGTTAACTGTAACAAAAGAAAATAGATCCAACAATCCAACATGCTTTGGTTCTGTGCCAGCAGATATTACCATAAGTCATCTATTTAGTGCCACATTGTCAGTACAGGGGCCAAAATGGGGGGCCAAGACTGGTTCTACAGGAACGTTAGCGCCTGCTGGCCCTTATCTAGAACCACCTATATCTCAATTTGAATATGAATTAGTGAAATAAATCAAATAGTCATTGTTGTTTTGATTCCTGAGTGACCCTGTTTGTACATGTGTATCATGTACAAACAGGGTCACATTGTGGGAACCCCCTGAAGAAAGATAAGATCTTTGTCCACTGAGAGAGTTGTTTTATATAAAAGTCTGTTGTGCACCGTGCTTTTATTTTGACAGCCGCATTCTCTCTGAGGGGATTTCAATATGGCCACTGCTAACTTAACGCGGCCTGGAAAAGCTTTTCTCCCTTCAGGAAAGTGATCCTTGCGTTAGTGACGACACTTCCTCTTGTATCCTTAAAGTTTTTTTTTTTTTGTTTAGTTTTCCCCGCATTATCTCGGCGTCCGCAGAGAGGGAAATATATTTATCTAATTTTTCTATTGTTTCTTGCTTTTCCAACCGTGAAACTAAACCGCATCATGTCTCCCCCATCTCGGCGGCTTCAGACGAAGCCAGTGATTACCTGCCTGAAGACTTTCCTCATCTCCTACAGCCTGATTTTCTGGGTGAGTGATGGAGGGGGGAGAACAACAACTGGACTCAAAGCGGTTGCTGAGGAGAAAGAGAGTGGGGGGAAAATCACTGCTGGAAGCAAATGTGTTGAACAGAAACCGAAAATGATCCTTTAGCGTGTTTTGCTTAGAAGCATCAGCAGTTTGAAAACTACTCAACCGTTGGATAAGAAAGCAGATGCTAGCTCAGACTGCCGTTAGCCATTACCATCTGAAAAAAGGCTAACTGCTGTAGGCAGCTGCTGGGGCGATGCAACACCTAAAATAAAAAAAAAAACATTCCTACGAAAAGAAACATACGAAAGAGAATTAGGCCCATTGGAAAAAGTAAAAAAAAAAAAGTTACATTTTATTTCAGTTTAATATGGGAAAATAGTCCTAATTCTGAGATCAAAGTCAGAATTCTGAGATTGAAGAGTCAGAATTCTGAGATTGAAGAGTCA